TTTTAAAATATATTTGCAATGAAACAATAAGTCCGTCTTTTTTTCTGCTGCCAACAAAAAGTAGACTTTTTTAGTCTTAATGTTTTACTGAATAGATTTACTGTATGTGAAGCTTAATGTCAATTTTCATGGTTTTCAAACAACAAAATGGAATKTTTCAGTTTTAACTTTCCCTCAGCACTATGAAGACCCAAACATTCAAGAAGACTTTTAATCCCATCAGTTGTTTTCTGTTCAAATCAGCAGTTTGTTCCACTAAAACCCAGAAATAAAACACATATAATAATGTTAATAATAACAATAATRATAACAATGTTTAAGRTATTTTGCTYACCATCAGGCTGGAAACCCCGATGCCTCCCAGCTGAGGGTAGACGTAGTTCCACACCCCGATGCTGCCCCTCCTGATCCTCTGACCCACTGCCAGCTCCAGGAAAAACAAGGGGATGCCGATGAGGAGGAGGAGGATGAAGTAGGGCACCAGGTAYGCACCTGACACATTGGAAGGTCAGAGGGGGGAGGAAATGATTTTATTTGCACAGTCTGAACACTGGTTATGAAACAGAAGCATCCAACAAGTTCTATTTTATTTTTGTTTATACCTTTAAACACTGATTTTACTGCTTCCACTCCCTTCCTCACTCTCTGTTCTGATTTTAGCCTGTTTCTGGGTTGTCTATCCATCACTTCATCTGTTGTGACCCTCTTTTTTATTGCTTTGGTCAGAAGAGAGAAAAAAAAAAGCCCCGAGAACAGACGGCGATCACAGACAAGAAGTCAGATCCAGTCCTGCTTACGTCAAGAACCGAAGGGACACCATGGTGACAGGAGCATCCAAAGCCAGAGAGGATTGGTTCACACAGAGCAGACACTCTCCGTCCACACTGGACTCCATTAAAAAAACAACAAAGAAACATTTCATTCTCCTCTGTGGCTGATGGAGCGGCAAACAAAAAGAACACGGTGTCATCTTAGAGGCTTTTTCCTCTTACTGTCAGCTCTGCTCTGAACTGCAGCTGCACAGAAAACATGGAAATAAAATCTGTTGGTGAGGACATAAATAAACTATCAAGGTCTCTGCCTGTTTAAATGTTTTCTCACAGATGCTGTACAGACATACTGGAAGGATAAGTGATTGATTTAATCAAAAGCTATGAACTGAAAGCTAAATTTAACACTGTTCAAAAAAGATAAAAAGTAGAAAAATGGCATAAATCTATGTGGAAAGTGGTTTTAATGATCCTGCACAATAATAACTATAACGTTCATAAACCCTCATTAATTAACTGACATGTAGGACTGGAGTAACGAGGCTGGTTTGGTCAAAGTCATATATTTGTTTTATTTTTCTGTCTGCATAAAGAAGCAAATGAGCTGAAGCCTCATTTTGCTGTTAAATAAAAGAAGATGTGCTGTGCTGAAATGTTTTAAATGTATAAAAAACATTTCAGTTGAAGTTTTTTTAATTTAAAGAGTCTTTAAAAAATGTAATCAGTTGCTGCACTGACTAAAACCTACTAACGTACTCCAGTGTTTACAGGGTGTCGAGGCCAGTTGCATTGGAAGACATAAAAAAACAGAAAGGCAAAATATATATATATTTGGGGAGACCTAGAGGAGTAAAAAAAAAGGGGTGGAAGTGACAAACACGAGGAAACTCTGATAAAATTGAAGAATTTAATAAAACAAAAAGGCTAATTTAGCAACGACTAGAAAAAACTCAAGGAGACGTGGCTACACAATGTTAGATCCCAGACGGACTGTGAGAAGCACTGTAAGAAGGCTGGGCCTGAAGAGTAATTGGAAACAGGTGAGTGTGGGTGTGGCAGAACAGAGGAGCAGGAACGGATACTGGGAGAACAAACTGGTCGCACATGGAAACAAGTAAATACAAGTAAAATAAAGAAAGTTAACGTTACAAAGAAAAGAACAGAAATAAACACACACACACACACACACACACATACACACACACACACACACACGCACACGCACACATAAATCTAACAAAAGCAACCACATGATACAGATCCTGATAGGAAGGATGGTTTGGAATTCCTTTGGTAAAAAACAAACCAATCAAATAAACGTTTTTCCAGCTGGCAGCTGAGTCAAAAGGTTGCTCTTGCATGGTGTCACAATCTGCTTGTACCAACTCCAGACAAATGTTCATCCTCCCACCAGGTTCCAGGAGACACAAACACCACAATAAAACCTCATTTAATTTGTGATTTGTCTGTTAGGCTGCGATGTTTTAGAGCTGAGGTGACTTTAGTTCAGGTGTTTGTAATAAAAGACAAACAGAGAAAAGAGTGACCAAAGCAGCAGACTTCTTTTTTCTTTCCTCTTCAGTACCTTTAACTACAAAAATAGATTTTTGCAGAAAAATGTATTAATATCCAGAGGTGCCATTATGAATGTTTAAAAGGGGCCAGATGGAGGCCACTGCTGATCTTAGGGTGACACAGCACAAAAAAAAAAAAAAAAAACTACAGCAGAACGTGAGGAGTTTTAGTGTGATATTGTTATGTATAAATACAGTAAGGTTGGGCAATATTGGCAAAAAAATTAATATCGATTAATTATGGTATTTAGCCGATAACAATTAATTTGACGATTAATCCCCTGGACACCCTTATGTCCTGGTCACATGACCAATTTAGTGGGAAAGATTTGTAAAAATCTGTTCCAAATTGTGTCAAAATTACAGACTTCAGGCTATACATCAAATTATAAATTGTGTTGATAGATAAATAAATTACAGAACTTTTTTTTTACATTCATCATATCTGAAGCAGAGAGGAGCACCGAGCGGACTCTGCCTGGTGGCATTAATCATATTAATCCTCAAGTGCCAAAAAGTAATTGATTAATGTTTTTCTGACGATTAATTGCACACGATACGATTATGCCCAACCCTAAAATACAGGAGTTATTGAATAAACATTCTCAGCCAAGAAAAGAAAAAAAATGCAGGAATGAAAACGAACTGAACTAAAGGAGGTAAAGGTTTGATGCATCTCAGACAGGAGAAAGTGACTCGTTCTGAAGGAGTAACTGCAGCTCTGACTTATCTCTCTGTGTGCCAGAAACAAATCAAGTTTCAATCAAGTTGTTTTTTATTGACTTCACCTACAACAAACCTTAAATCTGTTGACTGCAGAAAATTCAAACACTCTTGTTGAATTGTTTGACCAAGCGGAGAGTTAAACCTTTAGAAATTGTTGAGTTCATGTAAGAAGCAACACACTCTGTAGCTGATAGCTGACTCTAAACACGTCTGTTTGAGATTTCAACCTGGCACCAATTATTTCTGATCAAATTCAGAGTTTACAGTWATTTAAGCTGGGTGTGTTTTATTTYTGTTAGACTGCTGGAGGACAAACTGTCCACATTTCCTCGCCTTGCTGCTTTCTTTATTCTACCTAACGTCTGTGCTTGTATTTGTGATTATTGCTGTAGTTAATCTGTGTTTTTCTCCTCATAGAAACTATTCCTCTCCAACACCAGCAGGTCAGTCCAGATGGTTCGGTTCTGCTGCAGGTTTCTTATTGTTAAAAGCGAATTGTTCCTTTCCACTGTCGCCACGCTGCTCAGGACGGCAGATTGTGTTGAAGTGCTGCTTTCCTTATTGCTAAAAGACATTTCAAAATTCTGTGTATTTTAATGAATTGACTGTACGKCCATTTGAATTAGATCTTATTATTGTTTTTGCTGTATAGTCAGGGACAACTAAAATTTTAACTTGGTGCTATTTAAATAAACTGAACTGACTACAAAGTCTAATTTTTAAGTGATATTTGGTTTATGACTCCAGCTGGCCTCATACTTTGGATTTTATAGAACAAACAGAAAATAACATCATTAAACCAGTTTTGACTCAGTAGAATATCTCTGAGGGTCCTGGGGGGAATCTCTGCTCAGATTTTGTGGCCTAATTAGGTATTGAAGCCAAAGGAAGTGTACCTTCACCTAACAGTGTTGTTGTTTGTTTGGTCCACATAAAACTGGTTGTTTTTCTTTCTTTAAACAGACATGAAGCTGTTTTTCATCCACCTACCTCCACCGTTCTTCTGACACAGGTAGGGAAACCTCCAAACGTTTCCCAGACCCACGGAGAAGCCCACCTGTGCGAGGATGTACTCCAACTTATTGTTCCACGCGGGCCGACCATCCTCTAAGTCCTGCTCGGGCAGCAGGGACTTTCCCGGGGCTGTAGATCCAGGACTGAGACCCATACTCATCTGGCTGCTCTTATAGTCCATGGGGTGCTCCAGGGACAGGAGGTCAGCCACCGACTCGGTGACCGGCTCATTGCTGTGCTCTCGCTGAGTCACCTTGGTGTTCTTTGGCATGGCTGCTGACACACAGTGGCGCCTTCGGAGGTCTGGGTGGGGGGTCGACGGGGGTCCAGAAGAACGATCAGTGAAGCGGACGCTTGGAAGGGGGCGAGGAGATGGAAAACAATTGTGTCTTTTTTAAATCTGTGGGGAGAAATGTTGAGAAATGGAGAGCGATTAAAAGATAAAACTCTTTTATAAAGCCTCACATGTTGGCATGCTTTTTACAAACTCAGTGTCAAACAGTAAATAAAGCTTTCAAGCAGACTGTCATACAAAAGGGTTTTAAAACTCGGACACGGATAGGTAATGAAAGCTTGTTTTTAGGCATATCTTTCTTGTCCACTGCTTGTGTTTAATGAATTGTTGACCAGCTTCATGTCCTAAACTAAACAACTAATRCAGTTTATGGTTTAAACAAAACCGATCCACTTCAAAAATGGTCTCTTTGCAGTTTTTTTTATATAGAAATGTGAACATTAGACCAAATTAGATGAGTCACAACTTCTAAAATAACCACAGCTCCACATCCAGAGCCATTAAGGTGGACTGCAATTATTTCAGTCTGAGGTTTTTTTTTAATGTCGGTTAAAAACAGCAGCACTTCAGAGCCACGAGGTATTTCTGTAATCCACTTTATTGTGGCGAACGAAACTCATMGATTGAATTACAATCCATTTCACAGCGCAGCCTATTATACTGGAGCTGGGTCATGTGAGCAGCATGAACACCAGCGTGCCGTCTGTGTGACTGCCTCTCCCGGGAGAATTCAGCAACAATTAAAACAGAGCAGAGACTGAATCTGCTACCAGTGTCCTTCTTTCTTAGCTTCAACATCTCGTCCTCAGGTTGTTTTAATTCAGACGCAGTTTGATGCCGTTCTGCTTGGAGTTGAACATGTATTTCTTGTTGTCTTTTTAATCTTATCTGTCCTGTTTTTAACTTCATCCCTGAAGGCTTCGGTGCAAAGCGGTGCCGATCACACAGCTGCACAAGAGATGCTGCCTTCATCAGGTCTTATTGCCCTGCATACATGAGGATTTTAYCCTCATTAACTGATTAAAGCCGTAATCCACTGATGCAGCATTGCACTCTGAAGGTAAACAAGCAGAACCCCCCATCTCATTAAAAGCCCGGATTAACGATGAAGCTCAAATAATGTTCATCTGGTAAAARAATCAACTGTTTGTTGTGGAAAATGAAGCATCAAGCAGAGAAGATGATGATATTTTACGTGGTTTTTACACTAAGTAACTTTGTTTAACCAAACTGTTTTAAAAACCAGCAAATCAGTTGAGTTTCACACATGAGGTCCTAAACCAGAGGCTTACAGCTTTGACTAAATGTGACAYAATTTTATGTTTTCTGTAAAAATAACAGGAATGGCAAATTTATCCTGTCCATTTAAGTGTAAATGTGTGGATTAAACTAATATAAGAAGTAAACCATGTAGATCAGGTCATGCTAAGGCTTTGTTAGCCTGTTAGCCATAAGTTATCTGTCCAACTTATGTTTCTCTCAAATCCACCAGAAACAAAAACTTTCTGATTTCTTTATGGCAAGTTGAAAGAAATACAAAAAGAGCAGTTTTGCTAACAGTTTATGAACCAATAAAACTAGAGGATTTGSATAAATATGGTCAGTTTGACAATGATGGGAATTAGAAGAATCTTACTTTTAATTAAACATATTGTAAAAGTTCTCCCTCTGAATCAATAATATTTTCTAAATCTATTCGTGTTTTGATAGAGAGCACAATAATCTGTAAACAGTGTTGTAYAAAAGAAAGGACATTTTGCTTTAAAATATGAGTTATTTATTGAGGATAAATGTCACCTTTTCTTTTTTTTATTACTAAGATCACAGTTCTGTCAAAGTAAAAAAGGGTTTTTGGAGCTGCAAGCTTGAAGAGCAAAGACTGCTGGCTGAAATTTACATGAACACCCAGACAAGCTTTTCCTGAGCATAAACCAATTAACTAAAGGTCAAACTGATCAAAGTCTGGCAACAACAACTTTCATTAAATGCCAAAAAAAGCAGACAGAGGCGAGACTTTGAGGACTTGTTGGGCTGTGTGGGGTGATGGGGGGACAGAGCGGGGTTTGACTTTTTACTCTGGCAGCTCAAGGGCAGAGAGTAAAAATCAGAGATGTTTGATCTGAAGAAAAGGCTTTTAAATTTAAATTTAAAAAAACAGCAGCTGGCTAATTKCAGAGCTGAACTTGTACTCTTCATCCTGACTTAAGAAGGTTTGCTGTCTGCTCCAGAAGTCCTTCAAAAGGCTTAACAAGTAGCACGACACCGAATTCCTCAACAGTCACGACATAAAGTAGCTCCACACGGATCAGGGCTGCTGCTGCTTTTCTCACAGTTTGCTGAGTCATCCTTTMACACTGAAGCTGCGGTRAGACGTGTTCACAGACAAAAGRTTTATTTAAYTACAGCTGCAGAGAGAAGAAGCACAACTTTTCTGACCCATTTATCAAATGGAAACAAAACTGACCCCGTTACTACTTATAGATCATAGGAGCTGCAATATTTTCAACCAATGCGGTCATTTCTGCATCTTTTCTCATTAAAAGAAATTTGTYCAGAGCCACAAAACCTAAAGATCAAAATAAAAATAAAAACTGGACTAACTCAACTCCACAACAAGTTTTATATAAATATAACATAAAACATGGGTTTATACATTCTGAAATCAAAGAAATAAAAGAAACTGATGACATTTATCARCATTTTTACATTTTAGGATAAAAGAAAAGACCAAACTTTAATGAAGAGAAAAGCATTTAGTGCAAAACTCATTTGGAAAATGAATTAGAAAAGCCTTGATGAGGTAATTAATTAAGTGACTATAAATTAGGACAGTTTGTTAGATGTTTGTGACTCACTGATTTATCTCTAATAAAAACTTATTTGACCTAAACCTCATTAAGTGTTTTTTATGAAATACAAGGTTTACCTCTAATTCTCATTGTTTTCAGAATGACTGCAGAACACCTGATTTTTGTTTCATTCATTTCATTGTTGTTGTTGTTTTTTTGAACAAGTACACGTGTCAAGTATTTACAATGTCATACACTTAAACATTTATAGTCTACTTTGCAAAACCGGTCCCTAGATGGGCTTTTAGCAACATGAAAATACAACAGTTTAAATTACAGTCAAAAAAATAAAACATTACAATATGAAGACAATTCTAAATAAAATTAAATACAGATCATAATGAAATCAATAAAAAGGTTATTCATGATTACAAAACTGATTCTCCTTCAGAAAATGCTTCAAATGGTTTCAGTCAGAAATCMGTTTCAAATCTGAAATCATTCAAAAGCTATTTGATCAAAATAAGTTTTTAATTTTAAAAAAGTGGGGTGCTTTGAAACATGATACTTTTTGCAAAACTGCAAAAGAACTGAATTAACTTTTGTGATTCTAAAAAAAATTCATTTCACATTATTTGTTCAAAGAGCTGCTGCAGAGGATTCAAAGAGCTTCATGGCTCTTAAAGTAAAATGAAAGTTTCTGTTCTTCAGAGGCTTTTTACAGTTTTATGTTCTTACAGAGACACTGCAGGAMAAACAGAAGGCTTGAGATGAAAAGAATCAGAGAGGACTAGGATGTGACAATACAGAATAAAAAAATCGTTACATTAATTTTGCTGGAGATGATGTTTATGCAGAGCGAAACAAACTGCAGAGAGCAGAGTGTATTTATAGACCSCTGTGATTAATGTGGAGGGTCTCAGGGTGTGAACACACCACCTCCCAGGAGGCAGATGTGTGATCCCAGATTGTCATCCTGCCACAAACCCCCCTCTCCCAACTTTCTGCACCGGGGTCCATGATGTAACACAGGTTCCTCTCAGCGCTTTGCTCCACTTTTATCTGCTGTGGTTGCTAAGCAATAGGCTCCTTCTGAAATATTGAAACCTCATCCTGGAATCAGTGGTCGCCTGTCTCTCCTCTCCTTTTCTCAAATAGATGGACATGATATCCCCTCCGGAAGCATGGCTGAGAATAAAAGCTGCTGCTGCTGATGATGGTGGTTTTGTTGTGGCATCTTTCAGAGAGGCAGCCATCACTGTCTCATCTAGAGATTATTTAGATTTGAGACATCCACAGATAGAAAATGGAGTCAGTGTTAAAAACCTGCGACGGTGGAGCGGAAACAGAAATGCTTCTCTTTGATTGGATCTGATCCTGGAGTGTTGTGGCAGAAATAATGAGTCAACACCTGAATGCCAATATGCTGCACCGAYTCCCAGAGGTGGATACAACCTCTGACGCCTTGTCAAGGTCAAAGCMAGCACCTCACAGCCCCGCGGAGATGCAAAATAATAAGAAAATAAATAAGAAATAAATTCACGACTGTGTGAGCTGCGTCACGACCGGTGTAAAAAAAAAAGGGGCAGAGGATTAAAAAGCGACGCTGCGGTGGAAGCGCGCGCATCTGTCAGGTGATGAGCTGCTCCAAACCTCCTCCCTTTACATCCGTTTCAACACATCGAATCTAAACTATTTAAATAACACATGTTTTATCAAACTCTTACCTTATGAAGRTGCAGAGTGAATCCGGAGCTCATTCAGGGCGCCGCGGCATGCAGCATCTCTGGATGTGAACCCACCTCCAGTCGCACAGGGCGCGTGGTGCGTAATAAGTCTGACGCACGAGCTCGACGCCGCGGACACACGATTTTAAGTTTGGGCTTCTTTTTAAAAAAACAATGAATGGCACGGAGGCGCGCGCGCACCGTTTGTCTCAGCTTGCAGCTCCAGACCGAGGCTGTTGTGTTGCTCTCCTCACGCACGTCTGCTCCTCCACGTGGCTATTATGGCTGTGTTGTTGTGGGAAGAAGACTTTACTATGGGGTAAAGTCACGACGGTGGTCTGACGCAGGTTTGACTCATCCGCTCGTGCGCACGTCAGCAGCTGATCCCCCCTCCTCCCCATAAAAAAACATCTGCAGTGTTTGGCGGGAGCATCACACACAGGTGGCCTTCAGAGAAACTCCTCACCTGTCATCAGCTCAGCTCACTTAATAAAAACGTCTTTAAATGGGCGTGAAGCGGTTTAATGGCTGTTACTACAGTCATTTTTCATCCTGACACCAGTGATTTACTGTGCCTGCCTCTGCACGTGCTCCTGCCTCACTGGGTGACTTTTTATTCCCTCTAAATAAGACATGCCAGCAAGACCTGTCTGCTAAATGTTTTCWACAAATGATGAGTTGAACATGCTCTCTCCTCTCACTCTGTCACCTCTAAGAGCTCAGAGTTAATGTGGCTGCAGGAGGATAAATCCTGAGCAGAGAGTCTGCTTTCTGCCTCAGAACCATCTAACAGGTTCCATTATGATGTTTCTCAACTGCTGTCATCTCGTTTCACCCAATAGACACTGAAAATATTCATTTAAAGGCCCTGATTCTGATCAGTTTATCTCTGCATATTTTACAAGACAACTCCAAAACACACACACCCCTTACACACACACACACACTGCAGCTCTGCATACATGTATGTTTCCTGTCTCCTTCAATTCACTCATGTGACTCACTCACCAAGGACCGGCTACTGGGATCGGTTTCCATGGCAGCCGTGCTGATCATATGATGGTTACTCACACTGTGAGCATTTTTTTTCTGTCTTTCTCTCTTTATTTTTCCACTCTCCTCCTTCCCTCCCCGCCCCTCTCTCAAGCACCTATCCTCTCTGCAGCTGTGCRCCGAGTCACCACAAGTGCAACACACTTCCATCTCGCAAAGCTTGCCACTCACTTGGCGTTGCAGCTTGKGGTTTGTTGCATCTGATGTGCGACTATTATCCACACACGCTTGTTATCGCACCAATAAATTATGCAGCAGAAGTCGTAACGTCTCCACCCCCCACCTCCTGCCACAGTCAGAGTTCTGGTGCAGTATGGAGAACTGCAGGCCTCGTCAGAGGAGAGACAGTCTCTTATTCCATCATGGCACCTCTCACCTGAAACAGCTTAACCTTGAGCTTGGTGATCCTACTTTTATTTGCTTACTTCACCCCAGTGAGAGTAACAAACAGAGAAGCTGGGCCTTTGCACACGTCCTTTACAGCTTACAACCTATTAAAGTGGAGCAGAGAAACGAGGGCTAATGAGCCACCTGCCTGAGCTGTGATTTACTGACCCTTTCAAGAGAATTTATAAAGGCTTAGTTCTGCGATGTTGAACAAACACCACATCCTGCCACATCAGACCTTTATTTTATATAAAAATAGTATTGCATTGGTTGGTGGGAATTATATCTAGATTAATTCTGAATAGATGATTCTCACCCAGCAGATCTTGCCCTCTCTAGCTATGGAGCACCAGCTCTTCCAGTCTCAGGAGAGACAGGTTGCTTGAGCACAAGTTAAACATGCTGACGAAAACAGACGGGTAAAATCTGAGCCGWGCCCCGGGGAGGGGGGGAGTTTCTGTGCAGCTGAGCCTCGCCAGCTCTCCTGATTCACCTCTCTGCTCCCCCCTCTTTGTCTGCTGCAAGTGGTGCCTTCCTGACTCCGTCAGTGTGCTGACACCTTTGCCTATACTTCCTTCCCTCTGGGTGTGTGAGTGCAGCCATTTGGAAAAAAAAGTGGCTAAATGAGGAGAGTGGAGTATTTTTTTATCAGTTGCCTGAATGTGAGCTTGAGTCTCCTCCAGTAGGGCTGATGTGTAACTGCTGACTCAGATTTAACATCAACAAGCACATTTAGTGAAAACCTTGTTTTTAATCAACATTTAGAACCATTTTATTCTAACATCCAAGAAAAGGGAGCTTGTTTGTATTCCTCTCTTCTCCATCCCTGCTGTTCAGCTGACAATCGGCTCATTAGCTGTCTGCCTCAGCTTCACCTCTTATCCCGAGATAAAGGAATAAACACTAAAGTCACGACCGATGAGAGGACAAACCTGAGTATCGACACCTTTGAGAAATGAGCAGAAGTAAAATCAATGGCTGAAATTTGGCCAGAAGCCACAGTAATGTCTGATTAACTAAAATATTGGAGATTTGTTTTGTCCAGGTAGAAATACAGACAGCAATCCTGATTCAAGATGAATAAAGAGAAAATTACAAAACTAAACTTGGAAATTGAAGTGAGCTCATATACAAGTTTATCATAATTTAGATAAATTGACATTATTTTTATTCTCCTTAAAAATATAAAACTTACTCATAGTTTTCCTCAGATTTTTAGCATTATTGTATCAAGTCTTCAATCTGTAAAATATAGGAATAATTTAAACATACATGTTCCGAGAGCAAAAAAAACCAATATATCAAATGAAATAAGTTAAATGTTGGCTTTGAAACTGATTGTTACATTAGATGACTGCACTGAAAAAGCGGATGTTGATGCAGAAAAATAAACACATTTTAGTAATATGATGTAAACACTGATCTGTGGTGTCCAGTGCTCCAGATGGCTGGTCAGAACCCCACTGTTTGGGGTTTTATTCTAAGGACACAACAACCTGCTTTATAATACAGCCATGTTACTGTTTGTTATCATGAAAATATTTACTTCAATCCAATTTATATGCCCCTATTGCAACAGTCATAAAAGGCACTACACATAAAGAAATTCACATTCAATTTTAGTTGTATAAAATCTAGTTTGGTCTGAACAATCAGTGTCACTAAATTTSTAAACACCATTTAGTTAAAAACGTATCTATTTAAGGGAGAAAACAAGTTGCATAAAATTATTATTTCTACTCTACGTATATCTGTGCATGCACGTGGCAACAGTGGAGAAGAAAACCTCCCTTTTAACATGACGTCTGCCAGGGCCATAAGGGTGGGTAGTTATCTGCATCAACCTGCTGGGGGGTTAGAGAGCAGGAGGTGAACAAACACAGATGCATGCACAAAGAGAACATGCAGAATCACTTCAAGACTCCCACAGTTTGAATACTTACCACTACTTCACTGTGCAGTGGACTGTTAGTTGAGCCTTCTTGTATGAAAGTCATCGTGAGTTTTTCTTTTGGCTGCTCCCTCCTACAGGGGGTCACCACATGAACTCACATGAGTTATTTGACAATTGCTTTACGCCCACACCCTCAGGATCACAAGACTGTGGTGCTGGCCATGGAGCTACTGCAGCCCCCGTTCAAATGCCACAAGAGATTTGGCTTTATTAAGACAAATGTCTTTATAAAGCCAAAAAATAAATAAATAACAATACTTTTTTTATTGATGGCCTCCCTTCTCCCCTTATAGCCATTCTCTCCACACCAATATTATGAATTTTTTTTATTTATTTAATAGAAGAAAAGGAAGAAGAAAGAAAAAAGTGAAATGTGACGAGAAAGAGTGAAAAAGAGATTAGAAGATATGTAAAATATATGTTGAGAAAACACAAGACAGCACACCAGGCTTCTTGGCTCCACACCTACAAAACAAAGATAGCAAAACCACAGCAACAAAAATGCATATCTATATAATTATAATGACTTTAGCCTTGCTGAAAACCATACCCATATACATATATAAATTTATACATATACACATAAACATACCTCTACCTACATATCCAAACACTCTCATATACATGCATATATATATATACACACACACACACACACACACACACACACACACACACACACAC